TCACGTGGGACACACACCATTTCTGACGGTGCCACTCACACTCGCTCACGTCAACGTCTTTGATGGGGGCGTGGCCACCACTCTGCACCTGTGACACCAAGAAACCACTGTGCTCGTCACGTCGAACGTCTTATGGTGTCGGAATGCCACCTCACTTCCCGGCTAAGATGGACAAAACACGGCTGGCAGCCCTTCGGTGACTTGTTTGACGAACAAAGAACGCCACTCTCCCCCGTCGGCCCAGGCGCCGTGTGGTGAGCAGAGGCGTAATGCGCTTGTCTGAGGCCACCAGTGAGAAAAACAAACAAAATAAAATAAAAAACTTGCCAGCAAAAAGTTTACAAAAGACGGCTGCATTCGTCAATAATGCGGAGACAGACACTTGAGCGACATGTCATATATGACGTACTCCAACAAACATGTTTTCATCACGCACCTTGAACGGACCTACTGGCACTGTGAAAGACGAATAATAATTGTTGCGGACAGTGGTGATGTACTTCTGTTGCGAAGGTAATGCTCAAAATTAACCAAATAAATCTTAACTTTATATTCAGGTCTTTATAAAAAGTTGTTCAAGTTAGAAAGCTCCTCAAGTGCCTAAGTAAAAAATTGCTTCACCATACTTTATGGTGAAGTAATTTGCAAATAAATAATGCAACCTCTGTTTAATTGATATTGAATTACCTGACCGCAATCAAAGGTGTGTCGTCGCTATAAAAACTGGAAAGTTATATTTGGACACGATCGGGCGAATGCGGTTGAGAACGAATATGTCACGTAATAAAAGTGATGCGATGTTGCACAATTTCATCTTAACAACTCCGTGCCCGTTTGCTTGCTCGTGATGTATTCGAAGGAGCTAGCCAAGTCTCGGGTAGAATTCGAGCAGAGTAGCTGGGGCTGATAAGAGGAACGTTTATATACACTATTTACACACTAAAGGTAGCTATTTGTGTATAGTAGCATCATGGAAGCGTGATGGGAGCTTCTCAGGGATGGCTCAGAGCGTCTTGGTGCTCACGCTTTACGCCCTGGTCTTCCTAAAATTATCTGCAGGAGAAAACAGTGGACAGTTTGCAATAATCTGCTAGGCAGCTTTTCTGTAAGGTTAGTTTTTCAACCAAGAACTCACGTTCACAGGCTGCTTTTCTCGCTCATTTCGTTTTTGCCATTCCCCCCCCCCCCCCCTTTTTTTTTGAGATCTTGTTGTGCTCGCGTACCTTCGCTGGAATTCGGAGAGGTAACATTTTGTTGTACTCGCGTGCTCAAAATGAGAAATGAAAGCAGTCTGTGAACGAAAGTTTTTGGTTGAAAAACAAACCTTACAGGAAAGCCGCCTTGCAAATTACCGTAAACTGACAGACTGCATGTCAATTCAGTTCAGGGCAGTCCGAACAAATTGCCCTCTTCATCTCCGTCCGCCAAATGGGGGGGGGGGGGGGTAGTGGTTATAAGAAGGTGCCTGATTTCTGCAGCCCAGCAGGGAGCGCAGGGAGCAGCGAATAAGGATTAAAAAAAACGAGAGAGCGAGAAAGAGAGAAAGCCAAACACTGCCTTCTTTTCAGCCCAGGAAAGAGAGAAAGTGCACGTTCAGTTTGTCACACGGCGAGAGAGAAACATAACGTAGGTAACAGTGCAATAATACGCACAACGCACCACAGTGCAATAACATTGCATCGCATGTGCAGAATGGCGTCTGCAGCGCTAGGCAGGCAAGGGCTTGTGAGAATGGAAGACTTGGAAGCACCACAGAGTGTGGGAAACATACCTGATGAGGAATCCCAAGCTCTCGGCTAATTGTTCAGCGCGTCTCTTAACACGTCGAACACAACAAGCAGCCTCGATTTCAAACAGCTCTTCCTAGGCCGTCAGTCAGTCAGGCGTGTCCAAAGAGTTTTTGATGAGGGGAGCCAACAGCCCTAAAAAATTCGAAGTATGACTCGTGTTGTCGCCGCTTTTGGCGCACCTCGAGAGCGTTGATCCGGAACAAATCAGGGTAGGCTTAGCGGAAATTGTCCCCCGCGTCCATGTGGCGCCCAGCTAGGGAGGCCAATTTTAACATCTTCTACAGACACACGCACATAAGCACGCACAGTTTCACTCCAAGAGGGAAATGGTCGCAATGGCGTACGTAACGTGCATCTTTTATAAAAAGGCGTGCAGTGTATGCCATAGCTTCTTTTCTTTGAAAGTCTTGGAATACTAGTATATCTTCATTATATAGATGAAGTATGAGGCGGTTGCTAGTCGAATATATTTGGGTTAAAGTACTTCAAATATTTATTCGCCGCGCATGACTTCTGGAAATGATACTCCAAAAAAAGGAAATCGCTCCAATATTTTTTAAACTAAGTTCGCACGTGGGAGTACTTGTTCTCTGTCTGCGCTTTTCCATGGTTCATGAGTGTTAAGCCCCGCTGCTGCATCTATAGAATGGTGTAGGATAAGCAATATCAACGCAGTGACAGGATTTCCTACAGACTACCAAGAATTCGATCACCAGGAATTTTCCCTCCGGCATATTTTGATTGAAAGAAGTGACATATTTTTGCTGAAAACCCGGTTTATGCACTGGGTCCCGGTGCAGAGATGTTCCATATTGCAACACTGGATCATCGCGAGCGCGAAGACGGCAAGTGAAAGCCACTATGCTGTTGTCTGTACGGTCGGTGTAACGAAACCGTCCAGTCTTGAGGGTGTTGGGTTAAACCATGCACTTTGCCCATTGCTATTTTTCATCATGGCGTTTGTCTATTAACTGACTTGTGCTATGTGGAGCACGCGGCAGTAGTGCCGACGTGCTATTTGGTGCTGGTACAAAAAGAAAACTAGTTTGGATCGTTTCTTCAATGAGTCATTCAATTAAACCTATGATAGGAGGCTGCATAGAAGACTATACGCCTGACACACTAGGAAAAGTAAAGCACATTGTAAGGGACCACTTCTGGTAATTGAAGGACTTGTAGACCATCACCATATAGATTTTGGTGTTCTGCAGAAAACCCGGTTTTTGCACTGGGGCCCGGTGCACAGATGTTCCATATTGCAACTCTTGATCATCGCGAGCGCGAAGACGGCAAGTGAAAGCCTCTATGCTGTTGTCTGTACGGCTGGAGTAACGAAACCATATATAAAAATATTTTGCTTTGGACTCACTCGGACTGAGACTAACGAAATTTCTCTCTATTTAAACTCACTCAGACTCACTGATGTTTTTGTCAGCCGGATCCAGTAATACTTCCTCATATATACTCACTCATACTCAGACTGATCAAAACGTTCCTCCAGCGGACTCACTCGGACTAATAGACTCGCCAAATGTTTCTGAAACCGACGCACTTGGACTGAAAATGAGCGATGTTCGACTTGGTCCGGCTCATACAATAAACGTCGAAGGAGCACCATTGAAAAACACATGTGAAAGAATCGCAATTGCCAAGCAACACACACACACACACACACACACACACACACACACATATATATATATATATATGTATATATATATATATATATATATATATATATATATATATATATATATATATATATATATATATATATATATATATATATATATATATATATATATATATATATATATATATATATATATATATTATCTTTCAACCTACAAAAACAAGTTATTTCTACTGCCTCTTAATAATAATATTAAAGAGAAACTTAACATTACATGCAATTTTCCGCGATAGGCAAATGCGCGCTGATAGCACTAAATACAATAAGTACCATATGAATTGGCTGCTGTAAATACCTGTGCTATTTTGAAATTTGGTGATACAATGCTGGTATATATACATTTGCCCACGCTTGTAATTTGGTCATTATGCGAAATGCTGTAATATAAAATGTTTGTCACAGAAATTCTAAGAACCATGACTTGACAGAGTCGCGTTCTTTAAAATGTCTGTTACTTGTGCCGAGTTTCATATCAGGTAAGGTGCATTCATGGTTCATTATTCATCAAGTCTTCCTGCAAAACCCTGCAAGAAAAACTTGTCTTGATTGGAAGGACCTGTGGTTAGTGCACATGTACGTGTTATCCTACATAAGCTGAGTCTTTCGACAATAACTCATCAGTTGGAATACAGCGCCTGTGTTTGCATCTTTTTAGGTGGGCATGAATGTGTTGTATTGTATGCTGCTTCCTCAAAAAGAAAATAATGACTAGGTCGTTAGCTACCTGCTGCAACAAATAAAAAAACAAGATGCAACATTTTTTTCTTTCAGTACTTCTCTCTCTGCCCCTACCCACCGCACACACACGCACACCAGAGCTATAAGCGTCTATGAAGGAAGAGGGGCTGTTTACGGTTGCGCACCTGTCATTGCTTCTCTAAATGTTTCGGTGTGAGGGGGTTTATCGGAGCAGTGAGTATATAATGTACGACAGGAATCAAAGGTGAACATTCAACATAAGCCTGTCAGTTTTGAATAGAAACTGAAGGAATGAGAACTCCAACCAAAATATATTTAAGGAAAAAAAAACAGATGTTTTGAACCTGGTCCGGCGTCTTCCTCAGGGGTGAGAGATTGCCTTCAAAACGTCGTTTTGTTTAATATGTTTTGGTTGGACTTTTCTCATTACTTCAATGTACGAATAGAAGTGGGGATGGTGGTAAAGGAAAGGATGGCCCCAGTGGCTTTTGCAATACTTCATTAGGCATAATAACTTCTCTTTTCATCTTGCTGTGTAATATCCTATAGCTTTCTCATAACTCTCGGCTAAGCTTTTTTGTTGTGCTCGGTAGCTCAGGGTGAGGTGAGTTTCCGCGAATCTTACCTGCCTTCCAAACCAGTTACTGTATGCAAGCTTCCCCTGAATGGATGAACCTGTGGTGTAAGAATAGGAAAAAGACGCTATCTTTCCTTGCGAGAGCAGGGCTCAGTGGCTTGAAGGGAAGGGGGGGGGGGGGGAGTGGAGAAAAAAGTTTAGAAATAGGAAGGAGGAGAAGGTTTGGAAGAACGTGACGGTCATGGACTTCTCAAACTCACGGAAGAGGCGGCGGGAAAAGAGTGGGGATGAGGACGACCATGCACCACGAAAGCAAACGGTCACTACCCCCTCCGAATCCTCTGAAGCGGAATCACACACTTCTCAGGGCTCAGAGGAGTTGTCCGGGAGCGAGTGCAGAACCACGGTGGATTCCGAAGTGGCGTCCACCACAGCGGACATGACATCATCTGCCACAACAGGCGGCACGGACTCCCCGAGCTCGGATGGTGCAGGCACTTGCCAACTCCCTACTACCGCCTCAATGAATGACCTATCGGCCCCTGGGGACCCCTGCCCTCCCTCCCCCGACACAGAAGGACTGTCCCTGCCAGGAACTTCTCCCCAAGAAGTAGAGTGCACCCTACCTGCCCCTGCAGCAGAAGGGACCACCGAATCTCCCGACATCCAGCCCCCCGACGATTCAGCTGCCATGGAGGTGGTGGAGGAAGTTCTTACCAGTACCGCTACAGGGGGCAACACCCGAAAGAAAGCCCCTTATACGGCGAAAGACTTTCTCCTTACACCGTCAGCGGGGGCCACACCTACCAACCGCAGAAAAAAGGTAAAGAAGAAGCTGACCAAGAAGCCACTCCCGGTTACTGCATCGGAGGGCACGGCTGCCAACCTCCCCCAACCTTTCGCCAAGGCCCCCACTGCAGTGGACACCACAAGGAGGCACAATAGTGCAGCGGGGAGTCCCCCATACACAGAGGGCTTCCAGGTGGTCACTACCAGAAGTGCCCGACGCCGTGCCAGGGACCTTGCTGCTGCTGCGGCCCTCCCGGTCGACCCTGCCATTGTAGGCACAGTTCTCTTCCGGCCGTCGGCCCCCGGAGGTACCTTCAGTGGATCCCCACGCCTGATCCTCACACAGGCGCTCTCTGCAAGGCCCGGCGTAGCCGCAATTCGCGTAAATCAAAAACGCAACATTGTGGCTGCTGACGCAACCACGCGAGAGTGCCTGAAGCAGCTCCTGACCATTAAGGAGCTAAAGGGGATCCCTGTCACAGCCAAAGAACCTGCCGACCAAAGGACCAGCACGGAGTTCCTACACGGTGTCGACGGGGAGCCTGCGGCGGACAGCCTGCTGCCTGGGATCCAGTCGGCCGTCCCGGTGCTCTCTGCTGCCAGGGAGGGGCGAACCGTGACGCTTCGCTTCGCCGGCCTTCTGCCACCGGAGCACATGTCACCCTTCTTGGTACGCTTCCCAGTGCGGCCGGCCAGACCCCACCCCCTGCAGTGCCGGCAATGCGGTCGGTTCGGCCATGTCAAGGAGAGCTGCAGCTGGCCAGGCAGCTGCATCAGATGTGGTCGGACCCACCCGGGATAGAGCTGCGAACAGACCCGGCCCCGGTGTGTCAACTGCGGGGGCCCACACTCTGCAGACACCCCGGACTGCCCCCGGTGGCAGGAGCAGCGGAAGGTTGCCACTCTCATGGTATCTTCCCCAAACATCCTCTCGAGACGTGCAGTGGCAGCGGCAGTGCGAGAGGAGATTCAGGAGGCCCGGACTTCTGCGAGCGTGGTGAAGGGCCACCCTTCGCCGCCCCCCCCACTCCGGCCAGACCCATTGCCGGCGCCTCGCAAATCTCGTCGCCAGCCACTCCAGGGACAGCAGTTCACTGGCACTGCTGCCCCTATGGCCCTGCCTGCGGCCACTGCTGTTCCTGAGGCCCAGCCTGCTGCAGCTGCCACTCTAGCGGCCCAGCCTGCTGCTATTGTCCCCGGAGGCCAGCCTGCTGGCCCACGGCTCCTGTGGCCCCGCCTGCTGCGACAGTAGCGTTGCCTCCAGCGGAACCGGCTTGCCAAATCATCGCCACCCTGCTGCACACCCTGCAGTCTGTGGGAGAGTCACTTCCCCTGGACCACCCCCTTCGAGCCATCTGTTTACAGACGGGAGGCTCTCTTCTCCCCACAGCCAATCATGGCTAGCTCCCCACCCGGAACGAGCCAAGGCAGCCGCCCAAGCGTTCTTCAGTGGAACGTCAACTGGCTGGGGTAGCGGAGAGACGACCTGGCAGAGCACCTTCTGCGGAGCGATTACGACGTGTTTGCACTGCAGGAGGTGTATGCCCGGGCGGAGGACTTTCGCCTGCCGGGGTATGTTGGATACAGCAGCAGGACTGGCTGCACTCTGGTGACCTGCCATGATGCCCCCTGCCTGAACGACGGCCACCAGCAAGGACATTCCCGGTGTGCTGTCTACGCCAAGCGGGAGCTCCCGCAGGCAGAGGTGAAGGTGGCTGACCTGGTTGAAGGCCCCTTTGAATGCTGCGCCATCCGCATCTACATCGGGGGGCAGGACACCACTGTGGCCAGCATCTACATTCGGCCGGGCCAGCCCTGGGACCCCAGATGCCTCCATCAGCTGGCGCATCGCCTGGGCAGGGAGTTCCTGCTTTGCGGGGACGTTAATGCCAACACCCAGCCTGGGGCAGCCGCAGGACTGACGCTCGAGGCAGAGAGGTGCGTGATATCCTCCAGCAGCTATGGCTGGCGATCCTGAACTCGGGTGCCAACACTTTTCTCCGTCGTGGGCACCAGGCCACCAGCACTGCCATAGATGTCAGCGTGGCCACGGAGGGTTGCCAGTACGCCTGGTCGCCATTCCCGGACACCTGGTGCTCGGACCACCTGCCCATCCTGCTGTCCCCCTTTAGAGGTAGGGCTCCACGGGACCACGAGTACCACGTGGTGGATTGGCAGGTCTACCGGCGGTCACTCAAGCAGGACACGAGCAGCGGGGACCTGCTGCAACTGGTGGCCCACAGTGCGAGGGCAGCAACAGTCACTGCCAAGGTCCAGCAGGGACAGCCCGTCCTGGACATCCGGCTCCTGGCTCTGAGGGTGGCACGGCGACGTGCAGAGCGGCAAGCCCTGAACAAGGCCCAACCGGAGCTCTGGACGGTCTTCCGGTGAATCGATGCCGTCTGCAGACGCCACGCACGCAGGCGCCAGAACCTGGGCTGGCAGGGCGTGTGTGTCTCAATCAACCGCTCGCGTGATGGGATCAAGGCCTGGCGCCTGCTGAAGTGTCTGATGATGGCGCCCCGGGCCTTAAACCAGGGACTGTCCCTGGCTGTTCACCTGTCCATCACGGCTGCGAACCTGGCAGAACGGCTGGCTGACCAGTTTGCTGCAAGAGACATAGCCCCACTGCATGCTGCACCACCACCTGCTGCCCTCCCTTGCCCTACCTCCTGCCATCATCCCAGATGGGTGTCCGCGTAGGTGCGGGAGCTGTGCGAAGAGCCCATAGGGATACACGAGCTGGGGGCGGCCCTCGAGAGGACCAAGCGACGAAGTGCTCCAGGGGCCGACGGCATCACCTTCCAATTGCTCCGCAACCTGGATGGAGGTGGCCGTCAACGACTCCTGGTGTACTACAACGACGTCTGGTGCACCGGAGTCTTACCCGAGTCCTGGTGAACTGCAGTGGTGGTGCCAATCCTGAAGCCCCGGAGGAAGGCCACGGCTCTCTCCTCGTACCGGCCAGTCTTTCTCACCTCTGCGCCCTGCAAGGTGATGGAGAGGGTGACTCTAGAGAGACTGGAGTGGATTGCCGACCACCTGGCCTTCTTCCCGGAGCAGCAGACGGGCTTCAGGCGACACCGGTGCACGGGAGATTCGATCTCGGACGTCGTCGCTACCCTCGAGGACGCCAGGAGCAGCGGAGACGTGGCAATGCTGCTGCTGCTGGACGTGGAGAGTGCCTTCGACGGACTCCCACACATGGCAGTCGAGGCGGCCCTGGGCCGCCTCGGCATCAACGGGAGCCTCCGAGGCTTCGTGACCGCCTTCCTGTCCGGGAGGACTTTCCGTGTCCGTGTTGGAGGGGCCACCAGCCAACCCAGGGACATCACTGCTGGTGTCCCACAGGGTTCAGTACTGAGCCCCTTCCTCTTTAACATGGAACTAGCAGGACTTCCGGCGTCTCTCCCCACAGACACCAGGTTCCCGGCCCGCTGCTCCGTCAACGCAGATGATGTGGCACTCTGGGTTCGGGGACCAAGGCGGTCGATCCCAGCCATTAGGAGATCACTGCAGGCGGTCTCGATGCAGTGATAACCTACCTCGAACGCATCGGGCTTAAGGTTTCTGCCACCAAGACCGAGGCCCTGCTGATTCACCTGCTGGTGGCAGCTCGCACCCACGTGAGACGGCTGAGGGTTGGCAACCGCAGCCTTCCTTGGAGGCTGGTGGTGAAGTACCTGGGGCTCACCATCGACCACTGGCTCACGCGGATCCCGGCTGACAAGGCTGCTGCCACCAAGGTGCGGCGCGTCCAGGGCACTATCAGCAGGCTGCAGCTGCGTGGCCGCGGCTGCTACACCAAGTGGGCCCTCCGGCTCAACCAGGCTGCGGCATCCTCGGTCCTCCTGTACGCCTTCCCGCTGGTGAACCTGACACCGGCCAGGAGAAGCCTGCTGGAGGGACTCCACAGGGGTGCACTGAGATCGATCCTGGGGCTTCCCAAAAGCTCGCCGGTGGCAGCGACTCTCGCAGAGGCGGGAGAGTGGCCTCTGACGTTGCGTATGCTCCAACGTGCGCTGGGCCATATCGACCGCCTTCACCGCGCGACCGACGGCAGGGCCCTCCTGGAGCGTCTCCGCAGTCAGCCAAGATCACAGATGGGAGGCCTCTGCCTGCTGTACCACCAGATGGTCCCGGATCTGCCAGTTCCGGTTACCTTTCCACCGCCTCACCACCAGCCACCAGAGGTCCACCTCTGCTTGGAAGGGGCAACGAAGCGACGGACGCCTGCGGCCGCACTGCAACAGGCGGCCTCCTGCAAGCTGCAGGAACAACTGGTGGGACGGCTGCAGGTGTTCACGGAGGGATCTGTGATGCCGGACGTTAACGCAGCGGCCGCATGCGTAATCCCGTCCAGAGCCAACAGCAGGCAGTGCAGGCTACCCTTCCCGGCGAGCTCCACGGCTGTGGAACTGGCTGGACTCCATCTCGCGGTAGACCTTTTGGCCGAGGACATCCCCCTTGAGCCGGCCGCGGTCCTGTGTGACAGCAAGGCGGCCCTGCAGACCCTGGCCAACTCCAGCCGTGCAGGAGTGACGGCCTGCCTCCTGACAGCCAAGGTTCAGGCCCTCACCGACGCCGGGGTGTCCGTCTCCTTCCACTGGCTGCCCTCCCACGTGGGCATCGTTGGAAATGAGAAGGCGGACACACTCGCCAAGGCTGCCCACTGTTATGGGGGTGTATCTCTTGACCGCCGCCGTCAGCAGGTTGTGCTCGTAATTTGCATCAGGACCGACGAGAAGGGAAGTACCGGCGAGACGGCGCAGAACAGCAAATCAAAAGAGTTTAAGAGTTGTCCACTTTGGTCTACATAGTTAGACCAAAGTGGACATTCAAGTGTACAAACAAAGGTAAGAAGCCGAGGAGCAGAGTTCCGGCAGAGTCTCAATCCAGACTGCTTCACCCAGTCTCTCCCTGCGCGTTTTTAAAGGGTTCCAGACGCTTGTGTGACGTCAGGCGCCTCCAGACATGACCAAATATGGATCACCTTGTGTTCGCACCACCTACCACGCCACTGGTCACGCCACGGATCACACCACCGGCGTTCCCACACTCAAGAGCCAGGTGCGAATGAGCCATGAGCTCACCGCGTTCTCGCGCACAGCACATGACGAGCTTCGCGGCAGCAGCGTCTCAGGTTCCTCGGCGTCTGGGCATACACTTCTGCGCCTCTACCCCCGATACGTTTACAGGCCCGGGAGCGTTCGCACGCTGTCCGTGGTCTTGCATTTGGGCCCAAAGGGGTTCGCGTAAAATGAAGCGTAACACCACCAGCCTGGTAACCCCTACTCCTGTGCCGTGGCGGCCAGGGACTATTCGCAGGCCCGTCTAAAGAGGCTCCTTGTCACAGTCCACCCAGACCCAAGGCTGGCCAGCGGGCGAGGACCAAAGCCTCTCCCAGAGACGGGCCTCACGAGGAGAGAACGGGTCTCCCTGTTGCGACTGCGGACCAGCTGCATGTGGACAGCGGCCCGCCGCTACGCCAACGGCCTCTGTCCCTCTCCGTCCTGCAGCCGTTGCGGAGACCCAAAGACCCTCGAACACCTCCTCTGTGCCTGCCCTGGCTTAGCACAGGAACGCTTGAAGGCCTACCCGGCCTACAGGAGACAGGGTCTGCCCATCTCCACCCTGGAACACCTGCTGTTCCCGTCTCGTCCACATCCAGCAGCACTCCGAAGCCTGGCGGAGTTCGTGGAGGAGTCAAGAGTCGCTGCCTACCGCTGATTCCAAAAGCCATGCAGCCCTTGCCCTTGCCGACGGCCTGCTGCTCGCGCTCAAGCGGACCAGACACCCTCTTTACACACCACACACTATTTCTCCTAATCTCTTTCATCCCATCTACCCCACTCCAAAGGCACTGCGCCATGTCGCCTATAGGCAGACAGAATTTAGGTGCCGTCTTCCTTTTCCTCATGAACCACTAACAACAGAGCAGAAAGAGAATAGGGGCCGTTGGCAGGGCAGTCCGAGTCGTACGACTTGGAAATGTGGAGCTGCAACCACGTACGCACATACCTATGGCCATTCCCACAAGAAAAAAATGTCCTAGATCACCTTTCTTGGGCAAGAATACAGAAAACTGGCTATACGAGAAAACTAAAATAAAAAAACAACCGATAATCCACCAACCGATTGTCACCACAGCTGCGGAAGGAAGGAAAAATGTTATCCGTGACCTCGGCACCAGCGGCGACGCAAAGGCATTTATTCGCAGAACACTGTGTATAAGAAAAGACACGGGAAACCCGACACCAATGGCACTGCAACGACGCTCCATGTCGACCCAACTTGAGCGCAGGGAACAGCAAACGGAGCACAATCGCAGAACATTGCGACACTACTCGCAAAGTGTTTGCCCCATACCAGTCCCGAAGGCACGGTGAAGAGCTCGTTGCGATTTGTAGTCTTTCTGCATTCCTTGAAGAGCACAAAGAGCGCGAAAGATTGGGTACGAGAAACTTGAGCGTGAAAAACGACCTCTCCATCAAGCCTTTTGCAGTGTGGATTGGAAAAACGCAATGATGTGTAAGGGACGACAGGAAGTTCTTACGCGCTTCAAAGATGACTATGAATGGAAAAGTGTTTAAATGGGAATGGAAAAAAATCCACAAAAACACGGGAGTTGCTATGTTGTGTTGGTACAACAGAACTGCAGGCCTGTTGGAAAAAGATGGCAGCAATATCTCACAGAGAGACTCAAGAATTAAAAGCCTCTCTGATTGCCGAGAGGTAAAATAATTCTTCGACCACGTTTCAGCTTGAATAAATTTATTTCCGAGAGTGATGAAGGATCAGGCACGGCATCAACGGTGCGTTTCTGCCTCCTTCCTTCTTGAAATATTACCGCGAGAATTTTCATGGTAGCCTAAATTACGCAGCCACTGTTTAATTGGTTACAAAAGAAATGACAAAAGCCCATGGTCTTTCTCATCGTACATTTTAACAAAACTTGAAATCCAGCCAGATGGTGCATTGCTATTGGGAAATTTTTAGCGCAAACTTATGCTTCCTCACGACGTTCACAAGCACCCATCCTGTCTCTCTCGTTCTTCTTAACGTCTTGTTTAGCGCCCACAACTTTCCTAATTGCCACATTTATTGAAGAAAAAAACTGAAGTGGCATCTGAGGGCACAAGCAGTTCAACGCAATAGAGAGAGAGAACGGGTGCTTGATTGCTCACGAATCGTGCTGCTTTCTCGTCTTTGAAGCCACAATAATAATGAATCTGGAGCTTAGCACTTCTTCTCCGTTGATTAGGTACATAATCTTAGATCAAGCTCAGTGTAGGTTCCGATGTCACGTAATTAAGGTGACCTGAAGTGGGATATGTGTCACAACAAGCTGAAGAAGCCAATTCAATCCCTTCGTACCATCATGCTCGTTTAATACAAACGTTTGTAGATTGGGTTACAGAAACAACAATAAATGACCGAGAAATATTTAATTCCTCCGTTCGTTAGTAACGCACTTCGTTATGTATTCTGTTTTTTGGGAGCAGATCAAGTGATGAATTAACATAAAGTGCTGTTTCTATTTCACAGCAGTCAGCGAACGGTGTACTCTACAAACACATCACCTACATTAAACTTCTTGCCATCACAATGCATACAATCCTGAATTACATTGCAAAAAACGAATTTCCTAATGCTTCGTTATACATTCAAACGTCAAAGTTAAAAATAGCACCACTATGAACGGGATTGACTCTATGGCCAAATTTCACTGTAGAAAGCGCTTGAATAACTGCGCCTTCCAGGTATGCAATATACATTGCATGAGGTTTTAGATGTGTGGTGACATCATTTGTTCAGATTACATTGTTTAGCGTAGAATTAGTAGAATTAGCTTTTTAGTCACGTTTACTATGCTTTTTAATGTTAATATTTCACCTCATCGGTCATTTAGTGACGGTCATTTCATTTCCACATCCTTAAATTAGAGTTATGAATAGTTGATATCCAAGCATTTTTAAATATATATGACTGGTGTTTATCAAAGAACCTAGAATGAGTTCCGGGGAGGGAGAGATATGAACAGTTTTATCGTTTGAAAAATAAAGTTTTCGGCTTTACAAGCCGGAACGTCAACACGACAACAAGGCAAGCCATAGTAGGAGGTTTTAAATATTCGGAACCATGGGTTGGCAAAATAAATGGAGACCACATAGACTCGCCCAGTATATTAAATGTGCTTTTATATTAGGACTCAATATAGGGCCCAACCTATAGCCGGTATTTTGGTCACATATAGGTGGCCAAAAATATTTTTCTCTGCAAAACATTTCCGCAATAGTCTGCTTTCAATGGAGTAAATCATCCCGACATTTTTCGAATACACCAAAGATAGCCGCCAAAACGCCTTGGACGTTTGGCGTGGAATGACCGGTCAAACTTTACGTCGATACCTGCCACTTTTCGTCTCCACTGTCTCTTTCCACGTTCGTGTTCGTCCTTTCTTGACATTCAATTTCACAGTAATTTAAAAAATCCACATTATATTGGTTCTATAGAAGAAAATAGCTTGTGGTATACGCATCTTAAATAAAACTTGGCCGTGCACTTACGCCCCGTCTCACTGTTTTGTATCAATCATTTCACCGTTCTCATCTTACTTACCTTATTGCCACGTGGTTGCGACGGCAAAGAATATGGTACTTGGGTAGCTCAAGACGACATTTTTTATTTCGTGAACATGTGCCTAGAAAAGTACAAAGTACTAGAAAATCACGCTTTACGCAGATAGCGGTGATCAGAGCATTGGTCGTCGGTAATATGATCTGCGCGAAGGTACGTCGCCATATATACCCGTGGCATCGAACATCATCCATATTGTAGGTGTCTCAAGCTTATCAGAAGGTTCTAAGATAATCTAGAGTTTTCGCAGACAGCCAAGCGTCCTTTGCGCAAGGCAATTGATTAATATGTGGTGTTTAACGTTTCAAAACCACCACATGATTATGAGAGATGCCGTATAGTGAAGGACTCCAGAATTTTTGACAACCTGGGGTTCTTTAACATGCACCCAAATCGCAGCACATGGACCTACAGCATTTTCGCCTGTATCGAAAATAAAGCAGATGCAGGTGGGACTTGATCCCGCGACCTTCGGGTCAGCAGCCGAGTACCTTAGCTACTGAACCACTATGGCAGTGCCTTTGCGCAAGACAGTGACATAAAAATACAAGCGAGCGTGGCAGTATAGTAATGTTGCAATAAAATTTCAGCAGATGCAACATGTTTCACTGTGGATGCCATTTTCATACAGAACCGTCAGCGGGTAGCCACGCGTTGCTAGGTGGATCGACGTCTTTGGGTATTTCGAGCAGGCTAAATTTCTACCTAAAACATACGGCGTGACGACAGCACTCACGTTGACTTAAATTTTAGCGAAAAGAAGTGCACGCTTCGGTAGGATGATATGCATATTATTAAGAAGCTCTTGTGTATTCCTCAATGGTCGAGAACATCAATGGTCGAGCGAATCTTCACTATCACGTGCTGGATGAAAGGAATATATCTATGTAATGTTTACAGCCAGCCTATAGACCGCAACTGACGGTGTGGCCCGACATCACTCCTGTAAGTCTATATATTTACGGTTGTATATGTTACAGTAAAAGTAACTAAATACGTTACTCGTTACTCTAATAAAAAAGGGGACGTTTCACGGCTCCACGTTCTATATATACATAAAAAATGTAACGCGTTACCAATAGCGTAACAAAAAAAAAACATAACGAATGTTACCTCTGCCATAGCTCTGGAATCATCAGTTTTAATCAACGTGTGTTTGCTGCATAAACCCACAATGAGAATTTTTAAATTTCAAATTTATGTTTCACAGATACTATTCCAAGCAAGTATTATACTCAATGTTCAATTAACGAGAATTATTTGTACAAATGTGCTGAACCTTAGCAATGTTATATAGAGCCTTAATGCCGTCTGCCCATGTGATGGCTTCTGACTCTGCAGTGACCCAAGGTGAAACCATTTTTTTGCCATTGGAGCATTATACACAAAGTGAGGTTCGATGATCTATGGTATTCACAAAGAAGCTATCATTGAAATCTAAAGAAATTTACAAGAATCGGCATTTTCTTGATCCTTCTGCACCTTCAATAAAGCATGTCGAAATCGGTACTGTTGGACCTAGCAACCGAAATGGGCCGCCGCGTGCCAGTAGGCAATCACGGAGGCCTACGGAGGCCTACGGAGGCCTACATTGGTGCCTTTTTATTGGAGAGGGGGGAGTATTGGGAGATGTCGTGGGAAGGAGGGGGGACACTTGCAAGTTTGTTACACCAAATGTGGCTTCCTAACGCGTAAGTCTAGAAAAATCACAAAGGGGGACACACATGACACACACCTTGCAATAGCAGCCATGTTGTTTTAATATTTTGCAGTTTTTGTCTTCGTTTATATAAGAATTAAAATCATGCCTAGAAATCGAATTGACAAACGAACGTAGGTTCCCAGCACTCGTAATTGCATTCTTCCATTGAGTCTTTTCCGTAACCAGTCGAGAGTGGTAGTTGCGATTTCAATTGTCTCACACACCTGATGGGTATTGAGCACGTGTACACGCTACAAAAAAGCAATAAAAAGTTTAATGTTTTATACATACTTATCAAGCATTCTTTTTTGTGACGTTTTTAAGAGAAATTTTGATGGTGCCCACTTGCAAGGGGTGTCCCCCTCCCCTGACAGAGCACAAAGGGGTC